ACAGAATACAGTGTCGCTGACCTGGTCTGTGGTAACTGAGCCTTTAGCTCAGGTATGCAGACAGAAGAGTGTGCTTAGCTGAGAAAGCCCCTCTTCCCCTCCTCCAGATAAAAGAAAGAAAAATGCCCTTGAAGTCTCCTGGGATGTATGACATCATTTTGACCTAGGCCAGAAACGAGGAGGCAACTAAAGCAATGTAAAAAAAAGTTTAAAATAGGTAAATATATTATACCTACTGTTTGTGATTCAATAGGTTTTTAACAGCCTAAGGCTTGCACAACTCCAAAGTCGTACAATTTCCAATGCAACTTTGGAGTCCAACTCTGATGTAACTTTGATGCAAATTTTATGCAACTTTACACTTACTGACACTCAAGTCAAATCAAATCAATCAATCAATCAAAGTAGCATCAAAATAATGCAGGAACCTTATCAAAATTGCTGCAACTTTAAGTTGCATAGATCCAAATGGGTGTCATTGAAAACAATTCAATCTGGACTTATGTCACACAAGTGTTAATGGAGCCTAAGTACATCTGCTATCTGTATTTTATTATAGGGCTGGCAGGCTGCAAAGAATCTGCTACAATAGAAAGTAATAGGAAAAAAACTAAAGCCTCATATATTTGAACATCTAGAAGCTGCAAATTCTCCAATGTAAAATCCCCAGTACTTTTCTGTGTCCAAAAGATGCATGTGGTGTGCAAAGCCGCCAATGCAAGTTAACGGCTGTCCCTTTTGTGTAAATATACCATTCATGTATGATGCACAAGCAATCATTGTTTACACGAGTACGGCCATAAACAGACATCTTTTTATATGGGTGACTGTACACTGCACCAGCAGCTCCCTGGGCATGGGAACGTGATGGGGATTTATGTTAGAGGACTTTGCAAACTTTAGAAAACTGTGTACATGACGCCTAAGAGTTATGTGCCTCTGTTGTGACACATTTGTTCACAATGCTTATAGTTACAGATGTTAGTGAAGATTTGTTTTAAAGTGCTTTACTGCTTTTTTAGAATGTAGAAATACTTTAAAGTACATAGTCCAGGCCCAGGTTTTAACATTTCTAAACTGGAACAAAGCATCCTTGAAAGGCTTTAATAAAGCCTTACTATAAACATTGCTCTCATGTGAACACAGCCTTACTGCATTTGAATGCTAGTAACATTAAAATACTATTGCATTTAAATAATACTTCAAAAAAAGCTATCTTATGTCAATGGAATGTGAAAAATTTAAATGAATGATCTGAAAACAGGTAATCTTTGGTAAAACTGCTCAGTATTTAATACCAAAAACATTTTCCATGGACATATGCTCAACGATAAATAACAAATATTCAAACGTGACTAAGTGTAAACCTGCTGATTGATCCACGATTCTTCAAAAAAAGTACAAAAGTGAACATTCTAGTTGCCTGGTTTACCATTCGAGTGGCTTTAGCTAGGGTGTGCTTATGATTGATGCTGTGCTTTGAAAATGTAACATGTCAATTGCTGTTCCAACTTGTCCGAACCTCACATTAAACGTTTTTACTACTGTTGTTTTCAGATTCCTGATCCTGCTGCCTACCTGCCCCTGACCTCCATTTACGCACCTGCACTTGTGCTCTGTCCTGAGTATTTGAGCTGACTGGTCTCCTAGCCAAAACATGATCTGCTTTTTTTAATTCCACACTAGACCCTTTATCCAAGCATGCAACCTGACTGTTCAAGAAATTGGGGGATGAGCATGCACCTCCCACCTTCTGAACCAAACCAGGCCACATGCCCCCTTATTGAAATCTGGATCCCCTTTTACAATAACAGGGCACCCAGATACCAGCCCCTTCTTTATGTGAATGAGTATATAATACATAGTACCCCTATTCATTCACAAAACGTGGTAACCTAAAAATAAAGATACCCAAGTATTTGACAAATTCTTTATTTAAAAAAAATCCCTCATAGTAAATCCATCGTCACTCACATCATCCAACAATGCAAAAAAAAGTCAGTCATGATGCCCGATGCTCACCTACCTGTCAAAAGTACAAAAAAAAAAACAGCCTCTGGGACACATCTGGTGAATTTGCTTGTAACCCACTGAATGACAAATCCGATGGATAACAGTTGTTATATACAAGGGGAAGGGCTCTCTTGGGTGACATCATTGTCCATATAAAAATATGACCATATATGATCAGTGACATGACTGGCAAAAAAAATATTATTTTATAAATTGTTTTTCCTACACATCTGCAATGTTACAACTGTCATGGTCAACACCAGGAGAAAATAAAGGAGCACTCTGGCTTGATGGGATTTCAGTTGTGGCTGTTCTCACACCTTGTGAATGGTCCTGTATCCACCCCTCTTCAGGTTTTTTGATGGCAGCCTGTATTGGTGGGTGAGACTGCTGGGTTCCAGATCTAATCTCTGCACAGAGCATGTGCAGCTCAGTTATGGTGGGGAGGAATGATGTATTCCTAACATCCTAGAACTTTATCTAATGTTACATCTGGAGTATTTCTGTCAGGGCTCCCAGGTATGACCAGAGGTGTGTGACTGATGCAGGGAAACGCAGACTTCAGATATGTGATAAACAATACAATTTATTAACACTAACCATACAAACATAAAACGCAGTGCAATACTAAACATAATACAGTGCAAACAAACCCAACCAATCACCCACAGATAACAGTACATACAAGCAAGCGTCGTCAGGCAGGCCGGGTCAATATCAATTGGGCAGGTATACAGGGGGAGCAAGCAGAGAATGGTCGGGGTCACAGGCCAGGTTCAGCAGGTAGCAAGCAGCGTAGTACAGAGGGTCAGGCAGAGGGATGGTCAGGGTCACAAGCCAGAGATCAAAACAGGTAACAAGCAGCGTAGTACAGAGGGTCAGGCAGAGGGACAGAAACAGGATGCGGGACAGAAACAGGATGCAGGACAGATACAGGGCCCAGGACAAACACAACACCAAGGCAGAGTCTGTGGGTCTGGCCATCCCTTAAATACCCCAGCATCATCAGTTCCAGGTGTTAGCTGGCTGAAAGGTTGAGTCTCTGATGAGCTGGGAGCACCCGCTGGCCAGCCCTGGTACTGCAGATCAAAAGGCAGGTGAGTCCCACCATTGCTGGCCAGTCCATTCCTAACAGTACCCCCCCCCCAAGGAGCGGCCTCAGGACGCTCCAAACAGTCCTAGCTGGGCAAAATGTTCCACCGCCCGGGTCTGGTAACTGGCGGGATATCAAAGACTGGCACACCGGGCAGGACTCCGGGCAGCGGCACACCGGGCTGGACTCCGGGCAGAGGCACACCGGGCTGGACTCCGGGCAGAGGCACACCGGGCTGGACTCCGGGCAGAGGCACACCGGGCTGGACTCCGGGCAGAGGCACACCGGGCTGGACTCCGGGCAGAGGCACACCGGGCTGGACTCCGGGCAGAGGCACACCGGGCTGGACTCCGGGCAGAGGCACATCGAGCAGAGGCACACCGGGCAGAGGCACACCGGGCAGAGGCACATCAGGCAGAGGCACATCGGGCAGGACTCCGGGCAGAGGCACATCGGGCAGAAGCACATCGGGCAGGACTCCGGGCAGAGGCACATCGGGCAGGACTCCGGGCAGAGGCACATCGGGCAGGACTCCGGGCAGAGGCACATCGGGCAGGACTCCGGGCAGAGGCACATCGGATTACCAGGCGAAGCAGCAGGCAGCGGGCCACCAGGCGGAGCAGCAGGCACCGGGCCCCCGGGCGGAGCAGCAGGCACCGGGCCCCCGGGCGGAGCAGCAGGCACCGGGCCCCCGGGCGGGGCGGACATGCATCGGGCCCCCGGGCGGAGCAGCAGGCACCGGGCCCCCCGGGCGGAGCAGCAGGCACCGGGCCCCCGGGCGGGGCGACCGGGCCCCCGGGCGGAGCAGCAGGCACCGGGCCCCCCGAGGGGCGGGGCGACAGGCACCGGGCCCCCGGGCAGGGCGACAGGCATCGGGGCCCCCGGGCGGGGCGACAGGCATCGGGCCCCCGGGCGGGGCGACAGGCATCGGGCCCCCCGGGCGGGGCGACAGGCACCCGGCCCCCCGGGCGGGGCAGCAGGCTCCGGGCCCCCGGGCGGAGCAGCAGGCACCGGGCCCCCAGGCGGAGCAGCAGGCACCAGGTCCCCCGGGCGGGGCGACCGGCATCGGGCCCCCCGGGCGGGGGCGGCGGGCGCCGGGCCCCCCCAGGAGGGGCGACAGGCATCGTGCCCCCAGGCGGGGCGACAGGCATCGTGCCCCCAGGCGGGGCGACAGGCATCGTGCCCCCAGGCGGGGCGAAAGGCATCGTGCCCCCAGGCGGAGCGGCGGGGCGCCGGACCCCCCAGGCGGAGCGACAGGTCTCGGGCCCTCAGGCGGAGCGGCGGGCGCCGGACCCCCAGATGGAGCGACAGGGTCTCGGGCCCCTCAGGCGGAGCGGCGGGCGCCGGACCCCCAGGCGGAAAGGCAAGCGACAGGTTCTCGGGCCCTCAGGCGGAGTTACTTTTGAGGGGGCGCCGGGACCCCCAGGAGGAGCGACAGGTCTCGGGCCCCCTCAGCGGAAAGCGGCGGGCGGCCGGACCCCCAGGTGATGAAGAGCGACAGGTCTCGGGGCCCTCAGGCGGAGCGGCGGGCGCCGGACCCCCAGGTGGAGCGACAGGTCTCGGGCCCCTCAGGCGGAGCGGCGGGCGCCGGACCCCCAGGCGGAGCGACAGGTCTCTTGGGCCCTCAGGCGGAGCGGCGGGCGCCGGACCCCCAGGAGGGAGCGACAGGTCTCGGGCCCTCAAGGCGGTAGCGGCGGGCGCCGGATTTTTACCCCCAGGCGGAGCGACAGGTCTCGGACCCTCAGGCGGAGTGGCGGGCGCCGGACCCCCAGGCGGAGCGACAGGTCTCGGGCCCTTAGGCGGAACGACAGGTCTCAGGCCCCCAGGCGGGGAGGGCGGGGGGCGCCGGACCCCCCAGGCGGAGCGACAGGTCTCGGGCCCTCAGGCGAAGCGGCGGGCGCCGGACCCCCAGGAGGAGCGACAGGTCTCGGGCCCTCAAGCGGAAGCGGCGGGCGCCGGACCCCCAGGCGGAGCGAGCAGGACAGGTCTCGGGCCCTTAGGCGGAGACGACAGGTCTCAGGCCCCCAGGCGGGGCGACGGGCACCGAGTCGACCAGGCACAACCGTGGGCTCTGAGTCAACTGGGATGACCGCTCGGGCACTGGGTCAGCACATTGGATCGTCTGGCTGATGACAGCTTGGCTCAGACATTGCAATCGGGTCACCAGGCGGGCATCGGGTCACCAGGTCATTTGGCTCGACAGCGGGCACCGCGTCATCTGGCAAGGCAGTGGGCTCCGAGTCAACTGGTATGACCGCGGGCACTGGGTCAGACATTGGATCGTCTGGCTGGACAGCGGGCACTGGGTCACCAGGCATCAGGTCATTTGGCTCGACAGCGGGCACCGCGTCATCTGGCAAGGCAGTGGGCTCCGAGTCAACAGGCACGACAGTGAGCACCGAGTCATCAGGTACCGGATTGTCCCTGGCTCGACAGCGGGCATCGGGTCACCAGGTATGACAGCGGGCACTGGGTCACCAGGCATCAGGTCATTTGGCTCGACAGCGGGCACCGGATCAGGTACCGGATCATCTGGATCAACAGCGGGCATCGAGTCAACTGGCCTAATAGGATCGTCAGGCTGGATCAGTTCATCATGCTGGGTAGAGGGCATCAGGCTGAATGCCGGCTTCAGGCCGAGTAGAGGCTTCAGGCCGAGTAGAGGCTTCAGGCCGAGTAGAGGCATCAGGCCGAGTAGAGGCATCAGGCCGAGTAGAGGCATCAGGCCGAGTAGAGGCTTCAGGCCGAGTAGAGGCTCAGGCCGAGTAGAGGCATCAGGCTCATTGCCGGCGAGTAGAGGCTTCAGGCCGAGTAGAGGCATCAGGCCGAGTAGAGGCTTCAGGCCGGTAGAGGCTTCAGGCCGAGTAGAGGCATCAGGCCGAGAAGAGAGGCATCAGGCCGAGTAGAGGCTTCAGGCCGAGTAGAGGCTTCAGGCCGAGTAGAGGCATCAGGCCGAGTAGAGGCTTCAGGCCGAACCACGGAAGGCAGGCTCACCGGTTTGGATACTGGCAGGATGGTATTGGTTGGAAAGAATTTTCGCTTTTTCTGGTTTTAACTACTGGAGCACTGCAAGTAAACGCAGGTCTGCAAACGAATGGAGCAGCTGGAGACAGAGAAGAACTGGAGGATGGAACAGGAGAGGGAGATCGGTTGCTACAGAGGGCTTTTTACAGGGTTAAAGGCAGGATAGGTGCAGCGAGTGGGAACAGGGTACTGACATGCGGTAGATAGCAGGGCAGGAGGAGCTGTTGGGAATGCAGGAATAGAGTTTTGAGGAAATAGATTAGAAGCAGGACTGGGTCTTTGTAAGCTGACTGAGGCTGGGTGCAACAAGTCTGTCCATGTCTGCAGTATGGGTTGAACAAAGCTGAGCTTACACAAAGCCCGTCTGGTCAATGACTGTACTGCGTTTATACAATCTCTTAGTGTCTGTGGTGAACATGTGGAATAACGCTCCAGAAAGTAACCCACATCATCCTCTAATAACCACACCAGGGACTCTACCTGGTCTGCACTAAATGGTGGCAAAAATTCATCCCTGCATTCGGGGGTACCAGATGAAACCAACTCAGCACAAACCTCAATCAATGGCTGCACCTCAGAGAACTCTGTGCCCTGATCTACTAGAACATGAGCGAGCCGTATACATTCTAGCAGTTCATCCCGGGTATACTCCTTCAGAGTTTGATAAGCATACATCCCTGTCATCAAACACTAGCAGATATAAATATTCAACCTCATCAAGATCCATCCTTCCCATCAACAAGCCAAGATGGCTTCCCTGTGCAGCCACTTCTGGTCAGGATTGGCCTTGGTGTAATGTCAGGGCTCCCAGGTATGACCAGAGGTGTGTGACTGATGCAGGGAAACGCAGACTTCAGATATGTGATAAACAATACAATTTATTAACACTAACCATACAAACATAAACGCAGTGCAATACTAAACATAATACAGTGCAAACAAACCCAACCAATCACCCACAGATAACAGTACATACAAGCAAGCGTCGTCAGGCAGGCCGGGTCAATATCAATTGGGCAGGTAGGTACAGGGGGAGCAAGCAGAGAATGGTCGGGGTCACAGGCCAGGTTCAGCAGGTAGCAAGCAGCGTAGTACAGAGGGTCAGGCAGAGGGATGGTCAGGGTCACAAGCCAGAGATCAAAACAGGTAACAAGCAGCGTAGTACAGAGGGTCAGGCAGAGGGACAGAAACAGGATGCGGGACAGAAACAGGATGCAGGACAGATACAGGGCCCAGGACAAACACAACACCAAGGCAGAGTCTGTGGGTCTGGCCATCCCTTAAATACCCCAGCATCATCAGTTCCAGGTGTTAGCTGGCTGAAAGGTTGAGTCTCTGATTGCTGGGAGCACCCGCTGGCCAGCCCTGGTACTGCAGATCAAAAGGCAGGTGAGTCCCACCATTGCTGGCCAGTCCATTCCTAACAATTTCATAGAGATCCACTAATGCAATCTTGTATCTTAGATCAATATCAATATAAAATATGTCCTGTACCTGCTTCCAGTTTCTGCCTCCTGACCTGTTTCTGCCGTACCCTCCACCCTGTTGTTCCTTTTACTTCCACCCTGGTCCCTGTTATTCTGCTGACTGATCTCCTGATCACTGTTTATGGCTTGTTTGGCTTTAGGTCATGTTTGATGTCAGCTGTCTCCAATGGGACGAGCCTGTGGTTCTTTGTCACGGGGAGTTTCCTGATCATTAACATCCTATGTGGAGTGCTATGGTGAAGACTATATTTTCCTTGGTTCTTGTATCCCTAGGCAAGCCTGCAAAATATGCAGGATAATCAGAAGATCTACTTCTAAACCTGGTACAAGACATGATGGAAGATAATCAGAGCTGGCGCCCTGGGCAAAATTTTAAACAGAACTCCAACCAGTCATTGCCATTGTTAGCATCAATAAAAGGGCCCCTTAACATAGAATTTCATTATGCAGATTGCCTTGAGAGCATAAACACATGCTACAGCGTGAAGTTCATATTCCATTATATGCAGAAAACTAGAGTCTTTGTTAAATAGCAGAGCTTTAATTCAAATTCAACAAAGTGCTTAACTAAATACAAACAGACAAACAGATGGAAAGGCTGTGTTCGTATATACTATACATAACATAATGCACAAGCCATATTCCTCTGCATCAACAGTACTTACAATAAAAATTATTATTGTAATGAAGTGAAATTGGACAGCAGCTGTAGTTTGAGTCAGCTTTCCAATCTGCACATAATCTAAGAGTCTTGACCTCCCTTCCTTCCTTGACATAATGTTAACAGCATGAGCGCATGCTTCTATAATGAATCAGTGGTGGCAGAGATAGTGGATCCTAGTTGCTATATTAGTGCTGCGATCAATAAGGGAGAAATAATGTAGGTCTGTGCCTCAGACAAGCCTGAGAAACATTTGAACAGGTCTCCAGTTTTGAATATTTTGCTGGAAGCATGTTTATTGTGCATGTTCTAATGAATTTTTATAAAAAATCAAGAGAAGCAAAAATCCAGTTATGGGCCAAGCACACATGTATAATAAACACTGGATAAAAAGATAATTTACCTAGTAATTGGTGTACCCAAAAAAGCCACACAAACGGAGATAGTCAAATGTAAATACTTTGGTAGACCTTAAACCAAGGGCCCTACTGCACCAGAAGACTAGAGTGTAAACTACTTAACCATTGGTCTGATTCCATTAAGTTTAATATTTGGCAAGAATAGTTTGTGGCTTATAAATCTATAGAAAATCAATACATTACCATGATACAGACTTCACTGTTGGTCAACATGTTAAAAGAAAAAATCTTATAAAGTATAAAATAACAGAACTATATGTTTAAGCCAGACTTGCTAAATATAATACATTCAACATGACTCATAATACAACATTATCTTGGTTAACAGTTACTATCCTTCCGCTATGTTTAGAATCCAGATGGCTGAAAACTGGAAGCTATTAGCAACCTCACTTTAGTGATACATCAAAGGTTTAATCTTAGCAGTGACAGAATTAACAACGGTAAACATACTGGCACACTTTTTTTTCTTGCAGTCGTCATATGTGTTTTTTTAGGATTATGTGGAACATGCTTTTTTGCTACAGCACTGCTGGATCATTTAGGAAAAAGAACATCATGGTAAAAAGAAAAAAAAATCAGAACCACATGTATAGGAATATACGAAAGACAGTGCATGAGCAGGATGACGGTAATTCAAAAGAATGGCAGGGTTTAATGAAAGGTCTGATCTAGTTCCAAGACTGTTTCCTAACAGCACACACTAAATCTAGATAGATCACAGATGCAATGTTTCCAATCAGAAAGCAAAGGGATCATTGAGTTTAGGAGAATGTGCAACAGATAAGTATTAAGCTTCTAATAAATATGTCACATTTGTAGGTATTGGACTCCCTTCTGCTCCCTATCACTTGGCAGCTACCAAGATTGATTAATAATATATCATAGCATGAAACCAGTAAAAAAAATATATAATTGGGCACAACATTGTATTTTATGATCATTAACGCAGATTTTTTATCTCAGGAACCCATATTCAAAGATCTTCCACCCAGCTTTTACTGAAAGACATTACAACATATTCATTACAACTGGAGAAGAGCAAAATTAAAGTTCTCACCAGCAGTGTCCAATGAGGTTTTTACTTTTCATTTTATGAGGAAAAAATGGGATTTCTGATTGGTTGCTAATTTCGGCCCCATTTATTTTGCTCTATTTGTTATGTATCAGCCACATTATGTGATACAGTTTGACTTATAAATAGAAGGGTTAAAGAATCCTAGTTGGTAACTGTTCTCTCCCAATGGCTTTTCTCCAGTAGTTTAGCACCAACCCCCACAACACAATAGATTTTGGCTAAGGGATAGGACAAAATATAGCAATAAAAGTTTTTATAATCCTTTTTACATGTATTATCATATGCTAAGATTATTTTATTTACAAATGCTTGCTTATGGTTTAAAGAGCAAGGGCTGCAAATTACTGTCAAAAGGTTGTTAGAAATGTTTTAAGATTTAGTGACAACCTTCCCGTTATGACTTATAAGAGTTAGGTCAAGAAAATTAATTTCTTGCGTACTGTAACTGTATGAGAGAATAATATTAAGGTTTTTATTATGTAATGTACCGAAAAAATTAATCAGTGTCTGTTCCTCACCATACCATAGAAGGAAACCATCATCTATATACCTTTTGTATAAGATTAATTCAGGCCAGTCCCTAGCATAGATAAGATCCTCCTCCCAGCATGCCATGAAGAGGTTGGCGAGACTGGGGGCAAATTTGGTCCCCATTGCTGCGCGCCTTCAGTCTGCAGGTAGTATTTATTATCAAACCAGGAATAGTTTTTGTTCATGGCAAATTGTAGCAAGTCCAGTATGAAACTTTGTAGTGGAGGAAATGTGCTATTATTGGTGAGATAAAAATCAGCTGCTTACATTCCATCAATGTGGTTAATGTTACTGTACAGTGATGCCACATCAGCAGTGCCCAAAAAAATAGTAGGTGATATGATAATGTCTTTTATTACGTTAAGTACCTGCTTGTTGTCCCGTAGGTAGGATGGAGTCTGTAATACAAGCG